CCAGTGTTTAAATCTCGAATTTCACATCATTTTGGGCTTTCAGCTTAACTTTAGAAATAAACAGATTTGGCATAACTGGGCTGGTATCCATACATGGTACCGATTACCTGAAATTGTGAAATGCAATAGTTTCCCAGTCACCACCATTCTGTAGCCCTTTCTAGTCTCTGTAGTAACTCTAATGGGAGAATTGACTTATTTTTAAATTTGTACTCTGTGGTAGGTACTACTATTCTAGGGTATAAGAATACTGAGAGAAACTAACATAGACAAAATGTCTAAACTCATAGTTTGTGTTAAGTACCCCAACATCATCAAAAACTTGGGGAAGCGAATTAGACTACGAGTCTTGTATATTTTAGGGAAATTAGGAGAAAGCATATTTTTGTGAAGGTAAGAAAAATATTCCTGTATATCTAATATGCAAAGTATGTCAGTGCCAAAATATCCTGCCTATTTCATTTGTTTACCTCTTATAATGATTAGGCCCTTTTTAACTTTGTGAATTAATGAATTTATGTATTAAAAAATGGGTTCCAGTAAAATCCTGAAGGTTATTCTGATAATTTTGGAGTTGCTGCCTTTTGTGTATTAGCCTGAATCCTGCTTCATGTGTCTGGACTGGGACCTCTGCTGGTGAAGTGTCTTGAGTAGCACCTGTCTTCCTTCTCTTTTCCAACCTACTAATTTACATCTTTGGTCAACTACACAGTGATAATGGCCAACATCTTTAAAATGACAAATCCTATCAGACTTCAATTTTGATCTCATGCTGATGGAACTTGATTTAAATGTTTCTCACTTACAAACAAGTCCTTTTATAGGCATAGATGCTTAATAATGTGCTTCTGTGTTACACCTGGTGGTTCATTGCTTGGCCTTAAGATTTATAATGGTTGTTGGTTTTGAGAATCTGCTCTTTTTCACCAGGCTCTGCTTGCCTGAAATGGTATGTAGGCATCTGACTTATTTCTTCATTTCTGGATGGAAAGGTCAGCTTGCTACCTGGCAAAGAAAACTACACTGCTCCCATCTGGTGGCTATCTCAAATTGCTGCATCAACTTCCTTCTGAAAAGACTGCTTGCACTTTAGGTGTCATGCATCGCCAATGGGATAGATATTCCTAAATGTTTTGCAGCACTTCAAATATATCTTTATTATTTAAAATGGTATTGCACATTTTTTTTTTGAAGATGAGCCAAAAGGGAGGAAATTTTTGGGGGCAATCAGAAGAGTGACACTGTTTATGAGCCCCCAGGAGACTCCTAAAACTTCAATTAGTTCCTTTACCCTCAAAGCAAATACTTGGACTCAGGGTCCTCTAGGAGTAAGGCTGCTGGAAAGTCTGTAGTCCTCCGACTTTTTTAAAGATTCAAGAAAAATAGTATCATAAAAATAAAAATTAAAAAACTATGCATCTTAGAGCAAGATCAGTGCTTTACTTGTCAATGCATGCAGAGGTAAAAAAAAATTTTAGTAAAGTCTCAAAATTCTAGAATTAAAATTGATAATTGAGCAGTGTTAAATCAACTTTGAAGCATTACAAGAAAATGAAAGATACTATTGAGGTACAAAGGTTAGAGAGGTGATAGTTGAAATTAAATTTTTGCTAATTTTAGTTTTTTAGTGATAGAAAATGTGCAAACATGCCTCTGGTAAATCATTTATGAGTTTATTCACAAATCTGTGAATTACAAAAACATCTTTGGAAGATATGAACCCATTAAACATTTTAGTACAGAGTTGTATTTTATAAAAACATGCAACAGTACTTTATGATTAAAGTTCTTTGTTGGCAAAGAATAGAAACTTATTTGAAAATTACTTTTGTAAGATCAGAGATCTCACCAACTCAACAAAAACAAAATAATCAGTCAAAAAATAGGCAGAACAAAAGTGGATGCCTGGATTAAAAAGATGTGGTACATATATACAATGGAATATTACTCAGCAACCAAAAAAAGAAACACATGCCTTTTGCAGCAACATGGATGGAGCTGGAAAAGATCATGCTTAGTCAAATAAGTCAGAAAAAAAAGGAAGAATACCAAATAGTTTCACTCATAGCAGGAGTATAACGGACCAGGTGAGAAAATAATAATAATGAACAGTTATATACCCGAGACAATTTATGGGGGCTTGGGGAATGGGATCAAAAATGGGGGGGTGGGGGGGAAGGGGAAATGCACTGGACTTTGGTGATGGCACATGGGTGATTTGGTGATGGAAAGCCCATGGGGATTACAACTGAGATGGAAAAATGCATAAAATGATGTAAAAATAAACTATTATTTAAAAAAATAAATTGAAGGATGAGGCAAAAGGAAAAAAAAAGTGGGCAGAAGAGCTAAAAAGACTCTTCTCTGAAGAAAATGCAGGTGACCAACAGGTACATGAAAAAATGCTCAACATAACTTATTATGAGAAATACAAATCAGTCAATCAAGAGATGTGATCCCATCTCTTATCTACACCAGAAAGACTGTTCCACATTAAAGAAGAAACAAAACAAAACAAAACTAACAGCAACAAATGCTGGTAAGGATATGGAGAAAAAGGAATCCTTTACATTGCTGCTGCAAATGCAGACTAGTCCAACCACTATGGAAGGCTGTGTGGAGGACCCTCAAATTACTAACAATGGACCCAGCATTTCCTAGGAATCTATCCAAAGGACAAAAACATTAATTCAAAAGGTAACCTGTACTTCTGTGTTCATTGCAGTACTATTAACAGTAGCTAAAATATGGAAACAACCTAAATGCTTAAAATCAAATGACTAGATCAAGAATTGTGGTATATATGCACAATGGAATACTACTCAGCAATCAAAAAGGTAAATGTATGCCATTCACAGCAACATGAAGGGAGCTGGAATGGATTATGCTCACTGAAATAAGTCAAAAGGAAAAAGAAAAGTATCAGATGGTTTCACTTACAGGAGGAACATAGGGAAACCATCCAAGTGGATAAAAAGGAAAATAAAAGACAAAACTAGCAGGCAAACTATAAACTAGAAACATTCGAGGGGATTGGGAAAGTTATTAAAAAAGGAGGGACTGGGGCCCTTCCTGATGGTGCAGTGAGTTAAAGCACAACACTATGAAGCTATCCACAGCCACTGCAGCACAAGTTTGACACCCCGCCAGGGAGATAACCCACATGGCCTGGCAGACCTCTCCTGACCTGCCTGCTGCTCCCCTCAGCAGTGTATTTCAGTCTATCTGTCTGTTCTTTTTCCCGCTTGGTGAATCCTCTCACACTCCCTCATCTCTGGCCTGTAACCTAGGTCTTGTGTGTATAAATAAATCTTAAAAAAAAAAAAAGCAGGAGGGAAGAACATAAGAGTCTATATAGTGATAGCTGTCTTGGTAGTGGTAATTTTGTGGGGACAACACCCGAAGAGAGAAGTAAAACATTGCACAGAAATGAACAACATTATAAAAATGGAAAAAAGAACTTGTTGTAAAGATATAACAGGAAATCAGGAAATGTCATGAACATAAACAGGTACGTAAGTGTGGCTAGGTCTCAGATGATTAAGCATGGGCCAGTCAGAATCAACATTCTATTGATAGATCTCAGGCCTGGGATCTCTATAATCACTGCTAGGTCGTCATTAATTTTGCATGTGGCTACTAGTCCCATTACTATCATATAACTTCAAATCAAGTCCCCATACTGATGACTTCCTCTGTATCCAATTAATGATCACTTCTGTTCAAAGAATAACCTAGCAAATTGTATATGTGTGCGTGGCTTGTTGTTACTGTTGCCACTCAGTCAGTGCACAGGGTAGTCCAAACTAAATCATGAAAAGGTACAAGCAGGCATTTAGACTAAAGGTATACACTAATTCCTGCCTCTCCCAAAATTGTCAACTTTGACAGCGCTTTCTCTTTCTATAACCGCTGTTAACAATGAACACTTCACATAGTCTTTGGGGGGTAAGGTTGAGGTGAAGCATTGTAAGAATTTGTGGAACACTAAAATGTAATAAATTCAGGAAAGTTCAGAATTTGTTAGTGTTATGTACATTTCTTTTAATGAACTGTCTTGTTGAGAGAGGTTAGTGTATACATTAAAAAGTCTGTCCAGTGGAGGTGAGAAAATAATAATAATAATAATAAAACAGTTATAAACCAGAGACATTTTTATGGGGGGTGGACTGGGGAATGAGATCAAAAACATTTTTATGGGGGGGGGAATGCACTGGACTTTGGTGACAAGCACATGGGTGATTTGGTGATGGGAAGCCCAAGGGGATTGCAACTGAGAGGGAAAAATGCACAAAATGATGGAAAATAAACTACTGAAAAGAAAAAAATAAGTCTGTCCAGTAACGAAGTCAGTTTGCCTGCATCTACTAAGTAGAGTAGCACTTCCATACCGGTGTCTTATATCTTCTCAACAGCCCATAAAATAGGGAAAATAGAGGAAATCCTTACGACGTATTGCTAGATTTGACTTGAGGGATGGGATGTGGAGGGGTAAGAAAAGAAGAAAATTGCTGAAGTGCTAGACCTGTGTTTTGTTTTGTTAAATCCTTGATTAAATCTCATCTCTTTGAGCCTCTGTTTCTTCAATTTACCGTTGTTCTCTTAAAGGGAGAAATAACACCCAACCTCACAGGGTTGTAGTGAGAATTTCATAGAAGCTGAAAGTGCCTTGAACTGTGGTTGGAATGGAGTTGATTCCTTTTTTCCTCCCCACCTGTTATTCTTATGTTTATCTGTAAATTCTTTGATACATGGTTACTGTTCTTTTTTTGAGATATATATTTAGAAACAACGTTTTGATTCTAGACACTCAATCACACAAACAATAACTTGTGTACTGAGAACCTAAGAATACCTTTAAGCCACTATAGCATTCCTGGATCCAACTGATGGCAATGTTAATACCCTTAACAGTGACAGCAAACAACCTGTTGCCACTTTAGTCATTGGACTGACTCTTTGAACACAACTCAAGAACTAATTATATGTTTCTCTCACAGGTGGATTTGCTATTGTGTTTCTGGTGAGGACAAGCAATGGAATGAAATGTGCCTTGAAACGCATGTTTGTTAACAATGAACATGATCTTCAGGTGTGCAAGAGAGAAATCCAGATAATGGTAAGATTGCCTCTCAGGCTTGGAACTGTTTGTTTAAAGGGGGTGGGGGGTTAAGGTAGGAAGAGAGTGTGCCCTCTCATAAGAAAGCCAAGTGTGGCTGTTCTGTCCCTGAGATAGCAGAGACTTCTGTACACAATGGCAGTGAATAGACATGGGGTGTAGTCTGTTGTTCCTGCTTGATCTCACTTAACTAGGGTGTTGAAGAGAAATGACATATTGAGAGAACTGACCCAATTTTGAGGTCAGGGAAAAGTTTTTTTAACAGTTAGTGCTCAGAATTAACATAGAGTTTCATCTGAAAACCTAAGCTTTCCAGTGAGCTTCCTTTTCTAATTTTTGTCTTCTGTCACTAACCCCAGTTTTCAACCCTCTTGAGCTCTTTCAGCGTTTAATGATCATATACTTCATACCTTTATTTTTTGTACATGAAGTTCTTTTCATCTGGTATGCTTTTCCACTTTTGGGGCCTAGAAACCTCTTATGTATACTCTGTTATCCCATCTCTAAAAGTCTAAGAACAAAGAAAATTGGTCTATGGTTATAGAGATGAGGTGGGATATTGATTAAAAAAGGGCATATTGGAAATTTTTGGGTTATAGAAATGTTTTGTTTTATTGGGTGGTGGTCATATACTCATCAGAACACCATAAATCTATGTGCTTCACATATTGCTTCTAGTGATGAACATCTGAAACTTGTATATACTTATAAAGCATTCAATTAAAAAAGTAAAGCCCTCTATTTTTCATTGTTAATTATAGCTCAAATCTTAAGCTATTACTCAGGTTTCAAAATTTAGATTCAATTTACATTAAAAAAATAGTACCTTTTACAGCTATATGCTGAAATGTTTATGGATGAAATAACATGTACTTTTATATATTGAATTCTACTTGTTAATATTTTGGTCAGGATTTTTGCATACATAATTATGAGAAATAATGTTCTGTAGGTGGTTTTTAACTATTTCTGATTTTGGTGTCAGGGTAATTCTGATTTCTTAATATGAACTGGGTATCATTTATTCCCTCTACTTCTCTTTTCTGGAAGAGATTTTATTTTTCTGGAAGGTTTTTATTCTTTTAAGTATTTGGTGTAATTCTCTCCTAAAAACATCTGAGTCTAGAGACTTCTTTTGGGGGGACTTATTAATTATAAAAGCAGTTTCCTTAAGTAGAAAAAGTACTATTCGTATTATTTCATGTTGGGTGAAGTATGGTAACTTCTAATTTGGAGAAAATTGTTTTTTTTACTTAAATTGTCCAATTTATGCATGTAGAATTAGTTGTCAGTAGCATTTTCTTGTTACCCTTTGGATTGTCTAGGGCAATAACCCCCATTTGCTTCCCGATAATGGTTGAGTTTTATGTTTTCTCTCTTTTGGTCTGTGTATTAAGGTATATCAGTTTTATTTCTGTTTCTTTGATTTTCTCTATTTTCCCATATTTTGTTCATTGGCTTCTGTTCTAAAACTTCTTTCTTTCTGCTTGTTGAGGGTTTATTTTGCTCTTTTTTTCTAAGTATTTGAGTTAGGAGTTTCGATTATTGATTTGAGACAGTTCCTCTTTTATTATGTACATTTTAGTGCTAGAAATTTTTCTCTCATTGCAGCTTTATTTTGATATGTGTATTTTTACTTTTATTCAGTTATAATTCCCTTTCTTCTTTCCCTTGAGAATTCCTCTTGACCCATGAATTATCTGAAAGTATGTTGTTTTGCTTCCAAGTGCTTGGCAGTTTTCCTGTTATTTTTTAGTTTGACTATTGTGGTTGGAGAACATACTCTGTATGATTTCACTTTTTTGAAATTAATTGAGGTTTGTTTTATGTCCCAGGATATATTCTATCTTGATACATATTTGTAGGAACTTGGGAAGATGTATACTTTGTTGTTAGGTGAAAAGTATTGTATAAATGTTGTTGTGATCATGGAATTGAGTTATTCTAAAAAACCTTGCTATTTTGTTGTTGTTGTTCTAGTTCCCTTAGTTGTTAAGAAGGAGGTGTTCAAGTCTCCAACCACAATTATTGTGTGTATCCTTCTCTTTTTATTCTTTCAGTTTTTGTCTCAGTTTATAGCTCTGTTATTTGGTGCATATACACTTAACTTAAAATTTACCATCTTAACCATTTTTAGTTTGCATAATTGTTAGCTTATAGGCTCACTGTTTACAGAAGATCTCTAAAACTTAGTCATCAGGACAACTAAAATCTCATCTCTGCTGAATAGCAATTCCCCATTCCCAAAGCCTGGCAGCCTTTTCTATGAGCATGGCAACTTTATCTCATGTAAAATGTCCTTCTATGGCTGCCTTATTTACTTACGATAATATATCCTTCAGGTTCATCAATGCTGTGGAATATGCCACGGTTTCTTTCTGTTTTCAAAGCTGAGTTATATTCTATTGTATCTACATATCACATTTTCTTTAGCCATTTATCTGTTAATGGACATTTAGGTTGTTTTCACTTCTTGGCTATTGTGAATAATGTTATAGTGAATGTTGATGTGAAATATTTCTTCAAGAAATATATATATTTTTAAAATACATACTAAGAAGTGGAATTGCTGGGTAATATTGCATTCTATGCTTAATTTTTTGAGAACTCTACATTGTTTTCCAGTACCATTTTACATTCCCATAAGTAGTATACAGGGTTGTAATACCTCTACATTCTTGGCCTGCACTAGTTCTTTTCTGTTTGTTTTTTTAATAAAAGGTATGAGGTGCTATCTCATTGTGGTTTTTATTTGCATTCCCTGATGTTTAGTGATATTGAGCATCTTTTCATATAGTTGTATGCCATTTCTTTCTATAAGCATAATCTAATCAATATTATACATATGTGTTTATATATGTATATTTTTATGTGTGCATGTATGTGTTTGTATAATTTATTACTTTACTAGTGGTGTTATTTCATCATTCAAGTGAATTATAACAATCCTAACTCTCTTCTCTGCCTTTCCTGCTCCTATTTATAACCCTCTTAAATATTTCTTCAGCTTGTATTTAGGGCCACATCGGACATTGCTGTAATTTTTGCTTCTATAGTCAAACTTAATTTGGAGAGGTCAATAGAAGAAAAAAAAATGTGTTGTATGTTCCCCTTTTTTTCCTCACTGTGTTCCTCCTCCCTGATGTTCAAGATTCCTTGTATTATCATTTTATTTAAATATAATTTTCTTTCGCCATAGTTATATGACAAAACTGCTGTTAACAAATTCTGATTGGTTTCCTTCATCTAAGAATGTTTTGAATTGCCTTTCATTTTATGCAGGATAAAGAATTTTGAATCATCAGTTCTTTTCTTTCAGCATTTAAAATTATTGTACCAGTCCCTTCTGTTCTTCTAATGAACCTGTTATTCAAAAATTTTTTCCAACACAGGTGACTATATGTCACAATTTTCCTGACTGCTTCTACTATTGTTTGTTTGCCTTTTATTTTTAGAAGTTTGGTTGTGTCTTGTCTTAGAATGGATTTCTTCTATTTGGAATGTGTTCAACAGCATGAGTTTGTAGGTTTTATGTTTCTTGTCAGATTTAAGGGAATCTTCAAACTTATTTCTTCAAGTATCATTTTAATTCCTTTCCATTCTGTTTTCCATCTAGAACCCTGATATCATGATTTTAGAGTTTTTGTTATATAGTTCCATGCTCTCTTGAAACACTACTTGTTTGTTTCATAATACTTTATTTTCAGATTTATAAAAAGTTGAGATGTTAGCTTGGAGAGTTGTATATAACTCACACCTTTTAATATCTTATTTGGTATAGGAATTTTCCACAATTAATGAACCATTATTGATGATTATTACTAATTAATGTCTATTGTTTATGCACATTTCCTTTGGTCTTAATATATTTTTCTGTTCTGGATCCTAGTCACAGTAACACATTACAGTTTTTTCATATTTCCTTACGTTCTTCTCAACTGTGTAGTTTTTCAGACTTGCTTTATTTTTTTGTAACTGACAGTTCTTGAGGTTACTGGTTGTATATTTTATAGGATGCCTCTACTGGAATTTTTGTAATGCTTTTCTTATTTGATTGGTCTTACCATTTTGGAGGAATACCAAAGAGCTAAAGTACTATTTCAAGCACATCAGGTAATGGGTATGTTGGATAATCATTTATCCCTGACTTTGATCATCTAGTCAAGGTAGTGTTTGTCAGGTTTCACCACTGCATTACCCACTTCCTTTTTCTGTACTGTAGACTTTTTAAGAAAGTCAGTGAGGAGCAGAGAGTTATGCTTCTCCATGAGAATCTACATAATTATTTAAGTTCTTCTGCAAAAGAAATTTGTCTCTTTTTCTCACTTGTTTATTGAAATATTCATTTATTTATATCACTACAGAATCGCGCATATTTGTTTTATTCTTTTTTTCCCCCAATTATTTACTGTCTTTTGTTCATGTTGGGTATATTTATTTTTTGGCTCACTGACTATTTCCTCTGTCCCTTCCATTCTGGAGTTAAGCCCATCCACTTGTGCTTTTTGTTTTTGTTTATTGTGTTTGACAGTACTAAAATTTCCATTCGGTTTTTCTTCAGGGTTTTTTGTTTCTTTGATGAAGTTTCCTATTTCTTTCCTAAAGCTTTCTATTTGTGTACTTCCAGCATGTATGTAATTGCTGATTTAGGCAATTTTTTGATCATAACTGTCATGTTAGTTATGGCATCTATTAATTTAATTTTCCTGATAGCCTACTTTGGTATCTCAAGTAATTGTCAACATTTTCCTTATATAAACTGTCTTATATAAACTGTTTTAACTGGTTTCTTCTTTGGCAAGGGATTAGTGCGGTCTTGGGAGTATCCCCTTATTACTGTAGGTAGAAATTCAGGTTTCTCACTGGGCCTCTGTTGACCCCAGGAGGGCTCCTATATTATTGAGTTAGGGTGGGACTTCTAGTTCCCTTGTGCTTCCACTGATACTTCCTGACTAGGAAGGTGGATTGCCTTGCCATTGCTCTCCATGTGGCTTCCACTG